TAAGTTATATTTGCCTAGTTTATCAATAAGAATATCATGCGAGACCGTATCAAATGCCTTACTAAAGTCTAGGTATATGACATCCACCGCTTCTCCCTTATCCACAAGGCTCGTTATCTTATCAAAGAAAGCTATCAGATTAGTTTCAATCTAGACGCAGCCACCCTGTTTAGGGCTTTGGCCATGCGGTGTGCTTGCCAAGAGAAAGTGAAAAAGAGGTGCCTGTAACATCACTCCAATCCCCACAGTGAACGTCCCAACTCCAAACCAATTCACAACGGACCCACAGCTGCATGGGCAGTGGGTGAACCTAGGGCTGGGAGAGGCAGCCCCGCCTCTACCACCCAAAGCCCTGCCCCAGTCAGGAGCCAAGCTCTCCACCACCACAGAGGCAGGGTTCCAGCTCCCCCTCCTCCCGCAAGCCACTCCACACTACAGAGGCAGGTCCTCAGCCCCAAGCCTCCTCAGCCCCAGAGCACAGGGAGGGTGGGCGGTGTGTGGGCCCAGCCTCCCCCTCCTCTAAGAATGGGGAGGGAAGAGGGCACCCGGCCCCAGCCTTCCCAGCCCCAGAGCACGGAGGAGCAGTGCATGGCCGCAGCCTCAGCATGGCTAGGAGCCCTGCTGAAGCAGGAAGCAGAGTGTGGGTGAAGCCACGCTTGACAGTTTGGGAAGGCAATGCCTCTCCTTTCCCCTATATCTGCCACCCATGCCCAGCAATCAGGAGTTGCCAGCTTCCATGCAGCGATGGCCACGTGCATTTGCACTGTGAGGACAGCACTCCCGTGGGTGTCCTTGCACAGCAGCGCCAGGGTGAGCTCTGCACTCCATTCCAGCGAGGTGGCTTTGCATCTCTGGAAGGTTTTCAGCCACCACCCTGCCTACAGGGCATTAAGCCCTCCTGGCCTGGTGCAGGGTATGCACACCCGTCACAATGCCGTATGATGTAGTAGATGAAGAGCTCTCCCCTGTCAGCATAATAAATGTTCTCCACCAATGGCAGAAGCTATGTTGTCAGGAAAAGTTCTCCCACCGACATTGCAAGTACATGCAAGTGCTTATGCTGGTATGAATAAGCAACTACCTCCTCCTTGAGTGACACAAATTATGCTGGAATAAGCTATAGTGTAGACACAGCCTTAAAAACTTGGACTGTAAATCAAATGCTGCTCATAAAGGATGGGATTCTCATCTCCCTGAACAGTACCTTGCTCCACAATCTGTCCAGTCAAAAGCCACAGGGCTCGCTCATGGGACAAGGCACCATTCAATGGGTCTTCAAAAGACTGTGCAATGACTCAGTTAAAGGAGGAAACTTTTGCATGGCAACTAGATTCACATAAACATGCAAGAGCGGAATTTGCACTTACAACAATCAATGCCATTCTTTGACATAAAGGACTTGAGAGAGGCCCATGTATGCTACTGCTAAAAAATAGACCACGCTGGCACCAAAGAAGGAAGTCACGGATACCAGCACTCCGCCCATGTGACGTCAAGGAAGGACACCACCCCAAGCATAGAAACAATGCCCTGTTGTGTCAGATGAGTTGTCAAAGTGAGGAAAGCAAACACACAATAGTAGTAATTCCCCCTGAAAGATGTTTTGGTAGGGAAAAGTGACAGACATTGATTTTCTCTTTCTGCAATCCTAGCATGTAATTCTACAATGCCAAATGTCTTCATGGAGCCCACCGGAAAATTATTCAACAATGCCATAAAAGGCTTGTCCACAGTTGACAATGTACCAGAATAGCTATTCCAGAGTAATTCGTAATTTAATGAATATTCATAAAGGCGATTATAATTTGATTAGTAATGATTCAATCGTTGTTTTGGAATACTTATCTTGGTAAATTTCCAAATGTAGCTGACCCCTTCGCCGGCAATATTTGTGCCTAGCAACACCTCGCTCTGTGGCCCACATCCTCAGCTGGTGTAAACCAGCGTCGCTCCATTGATTTCAATCGAGCTGTACCAGGTGACTGCGGCTGAGGATCTGGCCACATCTGTGTTTGAAAAAGGAAAAATATTGAGCACCCCTCTGTGATGGGACGGGACGGAGCGGGTCTGGGCACAGCTGAGGGCATCTGCTCAGGGCGAAATGCTCAAAACTCGGGGCTCCTTACAGCCCCAGACTGGAGACCTTCCAAACAGGTCACAAACCAGTCACACCGAGTGCTTTGGCTGCCAGTATGGCCAGTCAGAAGCCTCACGAACAAAACCCCTCTGACATCCCAGCTCTTCCTGTGCCCCAATCAGCCCCGGGCCTGCACACAGGTGTGGGGTGTTAAAATCCAATCTCACCTATCCCGAACGGGTTCTTCCGTTTCTTCCAAGAAACCAGCCACAGATCCCAATTAATTTACACTCTGGATTTTATCCACAAGATCACGCTGAGCCACAATCTAAAGGTTTATTACTAAAAGAAAGAAAAGCGTGAGAGTGAGGTTATTAAGGAGAATACATTACATGCATCGAATCTCCCAGTTCTTGATACAGGCTCTTAGCAGAGATGTTGTAAACTGCTATCTTATAAGTCTCTGGTGTACATCCTATGCCAGGATGGGTCCATGGTTCTTTCCAGCTCATTGTTCCCTGCAAGGCTGCATCTGAGATCAGGAGCTAAATTGAAGACAAGATGGAGGTTGCCATATGGCACTTATATACCTCTCCTGGCCAGAGCAGGTCACATGGCTGAGCGATCTATCTCTGTTTCACATGCTGGCACCCATTATGCCCTGGCTGATGTGCAGGTATCAGTCACACTCCTCAGGTGTGTATTGGCACCTAGAGATTCATTGTCTCCTTGCTAATTAGCATAGCCACTGGCTGAACATTCGTTGCCTATTGCTCTATCTCAGACAGAGAATCTTCCAGCATCAACACAGAATACATGTTTATAACTCCACATACAGATATTATACAAGTACATGAATAGCATATACAGAATCAGTAGAACATAAGCTTTCATTCAACATCTCACATGACCCCCTTTGTACAGACTTTTGGGGCAAACACCCCTTCTCTCCCCATGAGTGCAACAGTGAACTTTAGAATCCAATAACGTGACACCAGGTTACTGCAGCTGAGGATCTGTGCTTTGAAAAAGGAAAAATATTGAGCATCCATCTACAGATCCTCAGGGCCACTTTCAGTGTGTCACCAGCTGAGAATCCAGACCCAGAGGCTCCAAAATCATTAGTCACTCTTACAAATGACGGCCTACAGAAATGAAGACGAGCATTGAAAATAGGGCCTTGTTCTTCCAGAGCCTGTCAGTGCACCAAACACAGAGCCAAATGCTCTCCATGCTCAGATTCTTGGCCTGTTTTGGCCCAATCAGTTACCCAATATTTCAGGACTTAGTGGATTGTTTCTGTTAGGAGGGAAAACTACTGATCCCAGTCAGGTATTTCTTTCGTGCAATCCTATTTATTTACAGAGGATGAGCACAATGTCCCGTTTCCCTGAACAGAGGAGGAACTAACAACTGCAGACCGTTTCCTTGCTCACAATTCCCCAATCTCCAGCCAGTTCTGCATCCCCAGGAGCAATGTCTCCTGGCTCTCTCAGGACGGGCTTCTCTCACTTTCTGCCTTGTTCCTTAGGCCTGGTCCACACTGAGATTGATAGAGCTATGTGGCTTCAGGGGGCTATGCTGGCCTAATCCCTGGTGTGGATGTGGCTAGGACGATGCAAGAATGAGTCCATCAACCTGGCAATTGCCATGCATGGTTGTGGTGCTGTCGCAGCAATGGGAAAAACCTTTCTGGTGCTGGAGTGTGCTTCTACCCTCCGGGGTTACAGCAGCATAGTGACGGGGCTGTAGCTGTGTCTCTGTAGCCTGCATCGTGGAGAGAAGTCTTAGAACACAGAGACAGACAGTCTCAAGCAGTCAGCCCTGTCACCCCTGCATTTGTAACTAGTCACAGGGAAATCCTTCAGATTTCTCCAGTGTTCCCTGTAAACGGAGCACTTGGGTGACCACCCAGGAGAGATTCAAATGCCACCCAGCTGATTAGAAGAGTGCCCACAATAGGCAGCATGTGTTTCTACTGGTGGTGCACATCCATACATGCCTCAGTGCACATCATAAAATTTATTTTGCACATGGATGAAAAAAAATTAGAGGGAACATTGCATGCGGCCCATTGTCTTGGGAAGTGGTGTCCTATTGTTTTCAGCTATCATAATACGAGGCATTTAATTGCTCCTTCCCATTATCCTGAAAGAAATATGACACACACATCAGCCTTAATGAAGTCTGTGATTGTTTATAGCTCAAAGACCCTCTTGACAGCAACCACTAAAGCCATGTCTACAGTACAAGATGAGGTTGAATCTATTGCTGGTCAACTGAGTGTGCAAAGTCGAAGGTCTATGTCCCCAGGGTGGGCAAGAATTCAATGTAGTTTGAAGTGGCGTGTCCTCGTTAGGGAGACAGCCACCGACTTTGACAGTGATGCACTGTGGGTAGCTAGAGAGCCACAGGAAACAGTCTGTCTGCACCTTTTTTGGCCCTGCTTACCCACGCAGATGTTATAGCAGCGCAATTTCAGTTTGCATCAAACCCTTGTGGTGTTGAGATCCAGCTTAAGGTGCCTAATGATTCCGATTGTCAAGAGCGTATGCAGGTCACTCCATCAGGAAGAGGACAAGGATGAATCTCGGATCCCAAGGACTTGCTGTACAGGCAAGTCCTTGCACTCATGGATTCCCTCAGGATGTCACAGATGAAGCTGGCTTTTCTTACTAAGTCATTTCTCAGAGCAGAATCTCACTTCTTTCTTTATTATACCTTACATTTGTATTCACTTTCTAGGCATGTGATTATAACTAGAGCTTCCCTTAACCAGCCAGTTAAACACTCACAAACACACTGGGGGTGGGGCAGAAGTGACAGCCAATCAGGAAGCATTGAGGGTGTCTCAGAATTCTTAAGCAATGCCTTAGAATTCCAAATCGTGACTCACAGAACGTTGGACTCAGCTGACTGGAGGAGGAGTTTCATGGTGTCTAATATCTGTCCGTTGGCCTGTTTGGTGTGCCCCACTCTAGCTGCAGCCGAAGCAAGCACATGGAAGCTAGAGATACAGCCCAGCAAAGGCAGCCCTCCTTGGGCAAGGCTGCCTGCATCATCACTGGAGCATCCCGGGGCTTCGGCCGGAGCCTGGCCCTGCTGCTGGCCCCACAGCTGGAGGCTGGCTCCATCCTGTTCCTAGTGGCCCGATCCCGGGGGGCCCTGGCCGAGCTGGAGGCCAAGTTGCAGTGCAGTTTCCCTGGGCTGACAGTGAATTCTGTGCCAGCTGACCTGGGCACCGAGGATGGGGTACAGCTGGTGCTCCAAGTGGTCCTGCACAAGCTACTAGGAGCTGCTGATCTGCAGCGACTCCTCATCATCAACAATGCAGGTGAAACCTCCTATAGCCGGTGCCTTCCAGCATGAGGGGCAGTAATACTGATGGAAGAATGGACTGTAGGGAGGGGCAATAGAGGGTGGGCTGGATGTGTGTGATGGGGACACCGAGGAGGGGTTGTTGGGGGGACTATAGTGGGTGGGGGGCAGGTGCCCAATATGGTGTAGGGCAGGGATGCTGTGTCTCTAAGTTCCTCTTAAGTAGGATGTAGTGTGACAGACCATTACCAATTCAGACTAAGTGAGAATGGCGCGTCTGTCCATAATCTCTTGCAGAAAATGAATCAAAATGCCTTAGTATTTTTAAAAGATAATCGAAGAGTACTCTTCTGGCGGGTGGATGCCAGCCGCAGAGATAAGGGGAAACAAAGAGGAGACTGGTAGAAAATCACTGGGCTCTAGGAATGATGGATCATGAAGCTGGGGCTGTAAAAACAAAAATGCCAGAACTCCTGACTTTTTTTCCTGGCTCTGTCATTGCCTCTGTCTTTGTCTACACCCGACATTTTTCATGGGGATTTGCCCAGCATCATATAGATCCTTTTCTACTCTGGGGATGTGCTCTGATTACCTCCATCAGTGTAGCTGCATAGTGCACAGCCCTGTTGTAGACAAGCAAATCTGCTGTTTGCATCAATGGATCTTACCTGTACTTGAAATTAGGATAAGCCACAACTGTACTAATATTGGCTTTGATTGTCTGTGTTGAGGCTGTGCACTGGTGCAGTTGTGCTGGTGGCTGTACTCATCACTAATCTGCGGGGTAGTGAAGGCCTCTGTGTGGGCATGTCTACACTTCAAAACTATTTTGAAATAACTAAAATCGATTTAATATCTTCTGAAATAACAAAATCAAAATAGTGCGTCCCCACGAGCCTCAAAATTAGTCTGAGGCAGGCTCTGTTATTGTGGACACATTAGTTTGACTTAGAGCCCCAGGAAACACTGGGGAGTAAATTATTTGAATTGCTCTGGGGAGTAATTATTTTGAAATAGCAGCACTGGAGTGTCCACACTACCGTTACCTTGAAAAGGAGTACAGATTTCAGAATAAGCGGCCTGTTATTTCGAAATAATGGGCTTGGTAAGGTGGGCATGTCACTTATTAATTTGACTTGAGGAGAGTTATTTTGAAATAAAGCCCTAGTGTAGACCAGGGCTGTGTGTTGGTCAAGTTCCTGTGGTTAGGTCGTAGGACCTCCCCTGCCTCAGTTTCCCTATCTGTACTATCAGGATAATACTGCACAGGGATGTGGTAGGACAAATGTAATTAATGTTTCTCAGTACACTGCCAATATTCAGTGCTATGTAAATACCAAGTACTAGGCCATGTTCTGTCTCTTTTCAGGATCCCTTGGAGACATTTCCAAATCCTTTGTGGATTTCACCAGCGCCGCCGAAGTCAACAGCTACTTTGCCTTCAACGTCACCTCGGCGCTTTGCCTCACGTCGTCCATCCTGAAGGCCTTCCCAGGGCAGCCTGGCTTGTGCAAGACGGTCGTGAATGTCTCTTCACTGTGTGCCCTGAAACCCTTCAAGAGCTGGACATTGTACTGCACTGGGAAGGCCTCCCGGGACATGATGTTCCAGGTCCTGGCCCTTGAAGAGCCTGGTGTCAGAGTTATCAATTATGCCCCAGGTAGGGTCCCGGTTTTGCTGGGGATGCAGAACGTAGTGCCTAGAACTTTATCAACAATTCATAGACTCATACGGCTAGAAGGGACCCCAAGGTCATGTAGTCTAACCCCTTGCCAAGAGGAAGGATTTGTACCAAGTGGTGTTAACCTGTACCAGGTTTGAACAATAGCCTCTCACACTGACTTTGCACTGGTGTTAATCACAACTGAGGGTGCAAGATGGGAGAACTGGCCCCCTCGATCACTAGTTGGAGACAGTGGTGTTCAGACTATGTGTAGAAAGCTTTATCTTCAAGCCAGTCCTTCCATAGAAACACAGTTCTTTGCACGAGAGCTCATAGATTCTGTATGATATAGAAAATAGTTGTCCAGTCAAAGCTAGAAATC